ACGGAAATATAGCAGAGAATTGAGTAGAAGTAATGCAACCTTGGAATCCTTGAGGAGCCGAAAATAGTCCCAGCTGAGAATAATTTTGAACAAACGACTGGTAACAGATTCTTCGGCAACTTTCTCTTTATCAACAGCCATGAATTGAATTAACAGAGGTGGAAGTAGAATGGAGTGGCACTGAGGAATCGAGGGCCTGTGAAGGGTTTAAGGCATTATTCAGAAAGAGGTGGAGAAAACGCGAGGCAGTTCCAGAAAACGTTTCTCTCCGCTTTCGTGCAAGAATTTTATAGTGCAAAACAATCAAGCGGAAGAAGAATCGTCTTCAGAAGAAACTAATCATCCTCCAGCGCCGCTTTGCTCCATAGTCAACTTCCAATGGCGATTAAACAAACCTCTGCCTCGATTGGAGTATTTTCGATGTTAATGTTTGTTCTGATTTTCGTTATTGTTCATGCGTGGATACGCAGCGGCTTCGCAAGGAGGTGTTGCGGCGGCGAGGAACGGTAATATGAATCGGGGGAGAAACATATGGGGGTTTAATTTTCCTTTCTTTGTTTTCTAAACCCAAAGTCACATTGTTAAATGTTTCTCTCATAATCTTTTGTTCGTTGTCCTGCTTAGCTATGTTTGTTTTATATTTTAAGTAAATTATATTAAAGTATATAGCTAAATCATTTATAAACAAAATGTAGTTTTTAACCCAATATATATATATATATATCTCTCTCAAAAATTTCAAATGACTCTTCTTCAAAAATATATTTTGAACTAACATCCCTATATTAATATCTTAAATGAAAATTTGATCTTTCTTACACGTTTAAAAAATAATAATTTGAGATAAATATTCATTAATATTTTGAATGGAAAATAGACTAGACAAAATATGAAACAAATTAGTAATGGTAAAAGTTTATCTTAACTTAAGTTTGAAGAGAGAGAATATAAAAGAAGCTACGGTTTTTAAATGCCTCAAAAAAATAATAAATAAAAACTATCGTTTTTAAAGGAATTCAAATCAGTGCAAAATTGAGTATGGGTAAAATTGAGACTTTAATTATACCTTATTCCAAATTATACCACGTCAATATTTCGTTCAAAATATTAATCGATATTTGGTATTTTTTTTTTAACATTTATTAAATATAAAGAGTAATATTTAAATTTTCGAAAGATAGGAATATTTTTAGAAGAATGGAAAAAGTTGGAGCGTTTATTTTTTAATTTATGCCCATCATATTTTTTAATAAGTTTTGGTTTGAAAAATCATTGAAAATGTATTATCTTTTGCAACCAATAAATTATATATATATATTATATTAATTAGATAAACATAATACTATTAACCATCGTGTCCATAGCTCTGACATCAACACAGGGAGAAAGATCATTTTTCCCCTATCGACCATATTGAAAATATCGAGAGATCCTATGTTGATACATATCGCTAGTAAAAAAAAAAACTTAAATGACCAGGTCCACATAATAGGACCCATTAAAAATTAAATTCAAACTTCAAATGCTTCATTAAAAACAAAATTCGTATTCCAAATATAACAAATATGTTATTTTTTAAACTTCAATGAATTTGAGTTAAAATTAAATTTAAATTTCTGGGACAAAAATAGTGATTTTTTTAATTTCAATTACCAAATAGAAATCAAGTTGATACCTCTAACTTCTAATCTTAATTTTTTATTATTAATCTAATAAATTTCTAAAGTTGCCTGCAACATTTATTATATACATAATTGAATCTCGGTCTTCAAATTTATAATTTGGTGGAGATTTAAAAACATAATTTTACGCACACCGAATGATGAATTTATAAAGTTAATATAAAGGTGCATATGAAGCGATCAAAATATATATTTTCTTGGAATGACATCAAAATATATTTACTTTAAGATGAATCAAATACTTTGCATGAAAATAACTTCAATTAACATTTATAAAATTACGTGCAATTATCCCCTAAAGAGAATAGAATACCAAAGGAATTTTCAAGTTGTTTCTAGATAACTGTAAAACTTGACCAGTGAAATTAAGCATGAAACGATAACCATATAAAGTAATCAAAGATGGGAGATTAATCACCGCATCTAGAGAAAGTATTATTGAGATCTTTTTTAATCTATTAATGATAATATAAATGGACGTGTAGAAATAAATAAGTAACAAAGTTCTACCACCCAAATTTTGTTAGCAAAAAATGCAAACTAAAGCAACCAGGCAGGGAATATAATGGTAAAAAACAATTCCTAAATCGGTAAAAATAAAGTTAGCAAGCTCCTCTCATTTCATACTGTGAGAGTGAGGACTGAGGAGGAATCAAGACCATAATAAAACTTCGTATCTGCATTAAAACAAAAAGCAGATAATGTCAAACAAAAATAAACCCATAACATCAAGATCCTGTTTTAAATAATCAATTTGCTCCGAATAAATCCGTACAACACCTCGCAGAAGGTAGCTTGATGTTCGTAGTGCAAGTAGAACCTCTCCAAATTAAGGTCTTTAACTGTTGATGTCGACGAAAATGTCGATATCTCAAATTCATGGAAATATCGATAAAATGTCGATGTCGATTGATATTTCTGTAAAAGTTAAAAAAATAAAAAATCGTAAAAAATATTTAAATTAACAAATAAATATTTTCATATTTATAAATTAGTTAAAAATAATTAATATTAATATTTTGTATATATAAGTGACATTTTGTTGATATTTTTCATATTTTGTTGATTTTTTTGAACTAGGATGAAAATGTGTCGATTTACTTCTCATGTCAATATTAAACCCATGAAAATATGGATATATCGATGTAAATGTCAACATATAGATGAATATTTAGAACCATGCTCCAAATATGATGGAATCTACAAATTCTTGCAAACCGTATCTTAAAATAAAAATGAAAATAGGCAAGAGAAAAACCATCATCGTGGGAATGAAAAAAAATCTCAAAAGATTTGATATTTCAATCAGCATAGAAACCCCAGGTGGAAAACCCAACAAATTTTTCTCCCAATTCGTTGAGAAAAACAACAGATCAAACTCGATATATACAAAAAAAAAGAGGAAAAAAAACAGAAATGAGATATTCAGACAGAGGAAAAGGATAATAACCAGAAACAAGAATTTTAGTCTTTCTCGTAGTCGACTCAAAAAACGATATTGAAACAGTGTGGTGCTGCAAATATGTGGCACCACACCGTTTCAATATCGTTTTTTGAGTCAACGATATCTGCGAGTCGTTAAAGATCCCACATTGAAAAGAAAATAGACCTTGCAATGATTATTTATAATAAACATAAACTATTCCTCTTGTTACCAATTAATTTTGAGATGGAACCCCCTAAATATTGATATGATATCAGAGCTCAAAACACTCAAACGGACGATGAAAAAATGGGAGAACCAAAAGAATTACGAGAATGAAATTCAAACTATTTTAGGGTTTAGCTGAAATTGTTGAAGTGGGAGTGAGAAATCAAAACACGCGCCAAATTCTGGACGGCAATATTGCGAGGAAATTGCATACGTGTGTCAACACGTGCAACGTGGCACTTTCTTTTCATTATTGACGGAATTGCCCCTACAATGTTTTACCACACTTATTCGGTTCGGGTTCGCTTTTAAACCGATTTTGCACACCCTCGGATATAGATTATAATGGCTTTAAATAGAAATTGATTTTTATCTGAAAAAGAAAGAAATTGATTTATTTTAGATTTAATAATAGAAAATGTAAATTGGTCCATCAAATCGAGGCCCAACAGCAGTACGGCCCAAATTCATTTTAGGGTTCTACAAGATATATATATATATATCTTCGTCTTCGCAGGACTAGGGTTTCGGCGAGGAGAAGAGAGTTCCCAATTCCGAAAAGATCATCAATGGCGCCGAAGACAGCCAAAGTCAGCAGGAACCCCGATCTCATTCGTGGGGTTGGCAAATATTCGAGGTCAAAGATGTACCATAAGCGAGGTCTGTGGGCAATCAAGGCCAAGAACGGAGGTGCCTTCCCTCAACACGATCTCAAGCCTAAGGCCGACGCTCCGGCAGAGAAGCCGCCCAAGTTTTACCCTGCCGACGACGTTAAGAAACCGCTTGTTAACAAGCGCAAGCCTAAGCCCACCAAGCTCAGGTTGATCTCTCTCACGCTCTCCGCTGGATGTTCACTGCCTGTCTGTAATTTTTTCTTTCTGTTTGGTGTGTTTCAGCAGCTTGATTTAAGTTTGAAATTTCCAGAACTTTAATCTTGTTGGAATTCTGAATTGCGTATGAGGATGAAATGTTGCTCCTTTTTCTGGATTAATAGAACATGGTTTGTCAATTTTATGCTCTGTGTAGGTCTAGCATTTCTCCTGGAACCGTGCTAATCGTACTCACTGGAAGGTTTAAGGGGAAGAGAGTTGTGTTCTTGAAGCAGCTTCCATCTGGGTTGCTTTTAGTCACAGGTGAGTCTTAGGAGGTTTTTTTCTAATTGCCTTCTCTTGTAATTTTTTGCTGTACTTCACATTGTGTTGGGGTTCTCTGAGAAGGAATAATTCAGTATTATGAAGGTCTTTGTATCTATTCGTGGTGTGTTAGGTATTTTTTCTGATTACACTGTGGATTTTTGCTAGATTTGGATTCGGAATATGTGTCGTCTTTTTGCCAACTTAGCCATCGTCCGTGTCATTCCCACATATTATCATAATACCAAACCCTTGCGTCTACTCGATACTAGGAGTTTTGGATTTTTGAAGTATAATAGTTTATCATGATAAATATTAAAAATGTCGCATGCCTCTAATTCTTCTGTAATGCTCTGCAAATGATCTTTACATACATTACCCTTATTTTCTTAACTTCATGTGCAATATCTTTTACCGTCCTCTTTCTGGTGGTTGTGGTTAGTGGGAGGGGTTGGCATACATGATTCATGTTGTAGTCGTAAATGTCTGGGAGGAAGGATGCATAGAAAGTAGTGATTAGCTAGCTGTCCACCTATTGGGTAACAATTTCAATTTTAGTTTTCTGTTTTTAAGAATCATGCTTGTTTTCTTACCATTTCTTTAGCATGTTTTTCACCTTTCTTCTGAACACGTGTATAACAAAATCAGTTTTTAGAAACTACTACTTTTAGTTTAGATTTTGTAAATGTCTTTAAAAATTGATATCAAGACAGAAGAATACATAGGTGGAAGTAGTGACTGTAAGCTTAATTTTAAAAAACAGATAAATAAAAACAAAATTTTATCTGATGAGCTCAAACATTATTTTATTTTGCAATTCTAGTATATGAAAGGGATTTTCTAAATTTAAAGTTTGTTATTTTAGGACCATTCAAGGTCAATGGTGTTCCTTTGAGGCGTGTGAATCAGTCATACGTGATTGCAACCTCCACCAAGGTGGACATTTCAGGAGTCAATGTGGAGAAGTTTGATGACAAATATTTCTCCAAGGAAGTTCAGAAGAAGAAAAAGAAGGGAGAAGGAGAATTTTTTGAGGCAGAGAAGGAGGTTTGTTATGGATTGTTATCATCTTTTTTTGTTCTAATACGAGCAGTTCTATTATTTCTGTCCTAATTTTTGGTCACCATTTTTACATCTAGGAAAAGAGTGCACTCCCACAGGAGAAAAAAGATGATCAGAAGGCTGTGGACACAGCTCTGCTAAAGTCAATTGAAGCGGTTTCAGACTTAAAGACCTACTTAGCTGCCAGGTTTTCTCTAAAGGCAGGCATGAAACCGCACGAGCTTGTTTTCTAGATATTTGCCATTTTGTGCTGATACTTTTCTTGTGGAATTGGTCACTACAATTTTCTAGTTTATGTTTTGTTATGGGAATTCTAGTTTTGAAATTATGCTTCTCAATGAATTTTGCAGTGAACTCTTTATTCATCAAATTCTGTCATGTAACTTCCTTTGACTACTGATGGTGATACGATAATGTAATTTTTATTCTACTCCTATCATTGTCTTCATGCTTTTGAAAAATACTAAGAGCAGTGAACAGTCATTAGAAAAGATAGATGCCTGGACTTCCATGCTACTGTAGTCATTTTGATTAGTCTGTGATGAGACGCTACAAAGAGGAATTTGGATTATATATTTTAGGCCAAATAGATAAGTAACTAATATGTCTTTTTTTTTTATCCAATTTTGTCCCAATTCTTGTAAAGTTTCAATTTCATTTGATTTTTTTCAATTAAATTCTTATCATCATTGAATGTTTATATATGAAGTACTAAGTCAAGTTTGTTATATACATATATGTGTGCGTGTATATGGGTAAGTGATACCTTTATTTCATCAAGGTTAAACGTAAAGTATTAGATTTGATTAGACAATGTATTTTAAATCTAATTGATATAGTGTATTATGCAATCTACATATCAAGCAAAAATATTTGGTAATAAGGAATCTACATATAAAACAAAATTAAAACATTTAAAAGTCTGTTAATATCAAAGATTAAAGTACATATTTAGCTCTGGATTTCATGGTTTTTTATGTTGTATGACAAACAATGGTTGAAATACACTCTTATCTATTGTTCTTAGGATGGTGAAAAGATGAATATCTACCAATTTATGCTAAGAGTATACAATCGGTTAAGGTATATATTTTCGCTCAAAAAGTTGGAAGTTTGATTCTCGTTTTTTGAACTCAAATATCGACCAATTTATTGGAAACTAGAACTTTGAACTTAAAAGAACAGTCGTCTGACTTAAATATTGACATGAATGACCCCATAACTCACAGCAAGCTGTCTGTTTGAGGAGGCAATCTCTTGAAGAAATTTCCAGGTACTGAAGGTAGCTTACTGCGAAACTTAGGATGCCTCAAACAGTACAAACCTGCAACTAAAGCCACCACTCTGAAAGGTGTAGCATATAGAACAGCAGCAGCACAGAGACAAAACACTATGAAAAGGCTGGTGGCTCTCGGGTCCCTCCAGCTGAGCAGAGATTGAACTCTTTCTCCTTGTGTTGCTATGTCGCCCACAACCGTCTGGATCCTCCCCGCCACACTTCTCAGCCTGTCGTACCTCAGTCGAACCATGTCGTTTGGTTTTGAAGTAGGGAACGTGTCGAATTCTTCGTCGAGCTCGTCTGGGTTCACTGCTTCAGCCCAAGAGAGCTTGGTGTCCATGTGAGGTGGGTACCTTGGCCTGAACCTGTATTTCCATATTCCAATGAGGAACATGTAGAGAAAAATAGTGGGGAGTATCAGTTCTGGATACCAAATCAGTATAAGGAACAAGATGTGCACAAGCACAGATGTGATGGGGTTTCTCCAATTGCAGACTTCTTGGAACCATCTACTAATCGAAATCATTCCTGAAAGCAATGACATGATTCGAAAGAAGTTGGCTTTGCTTCTTCTCATGCTCCAGATGTGTGAATCCACATCTAACATGTACTCGACGACTTCTTTTCTAAGAGGCGGTTCAGCTCGACCGAGCCTCGTTGCTACTATGTTCATGGCTTGGAATCTTAAATTTTCTATTTGGTTCACTGTGAAAGGTTGAAGGTAGTGCATCTTTGGGAGCAATGGATTTCCATAGACATGTATCATGTTTGCCAAAGACAGGGTGGTGAAGCGAACGGCAAGTTGGAGCTCACCCATCTTCTTCACTCCATTGGGGTGTAGAACCAGAAGGGGGTAAGAATGAGTGTAAATTTTGTGAGCTTCTAAAGTTGACAGTCGAATTCGAACCTTTCCGATCCTTGAATCTCTTGCCCCATTGCCTCCATTATGTTTCTCACCACCCCCCAAATGACTATTGTCAAAGACTCCCAAAGTAATAACAGTACAAGGATCATAGACTTCCCATGTGTACTGCTCATTCCATTTGGGACTGAAAGTGTTGAGAATTGTTCGGGTTCGAACCCATTTTTGACCGTACTTAGCGATGCAATAGGCGTCCGTGCTTCCTCGCCCATCCTTCATCTTCATCGGAAGTAGTCCTTGAGCACCTAAAATTCCTACCTCCAATAGTCCCACCGGTTGTTTCCATAGTTGCTTTGCAGTTGGTCGTTGGTCACTGATGTATAACGTTGATTCATCTAATACATGATATCCACCCTCGAGACAAGCTCTCAAGTGAATCCTACTTGAAAATTTGTGTTCCTTTCGCCTGTCAACTTCTAGAACCCCAAAACCGTACTTCTCGAGATTGAACCACCGCGAATGAACTGGCCTGTGATCTAGCCGCTTATCAAACATGTCAAGAGGGAGACTGACTTGCCCCAAGACATCTTCTTTTGAAGGGTGCACTCTGTCCTCTATAGTGATTAGTAATTGTTCTTCAAAAGGCTCAGCTACCACAAACACCAGATCTTCATTCCAAAATGGATTAGTGGTACTTGTTGAACTGATCATTGTTCTTAGTACCTGGTTTCCAATTTGAGCTTTCACGAAAACATCTGGAAGACGGTTTCTATCGTTCGGGATTACATCTTGAGCTTCAATCACATTTATCCTTAGATACCATAGTTTTGGAGAGACGTAAACCTTTGATCTTACATTATAAACACCCTCCCCATAGACTGAAGCAGCATCAGAATGCCATGCCTCTGGGAAGGCTTCATCAGCTTGTGTTCCCATCCAAACCGCAACCATGATTTCCCCCCTCACCTTGCCCGTTCCACGCCGGTCCTCCAATCTGTACCATTGAGGAGCCAGTGGACTATCTGGGGGAACTCGAGTAGGAACCTCGTTCAAGTCGAACACCACGCGGCCGAGATAATCATCTCTTCCCAGCATTTCTTTATCCTTGACAAAAACTTCAAGTGCAGAGGAATGGATGCGCTCTTTTGAGAAAGCAAAGACTTGATTCCATTCTGGATTTAGCTTCTTGTCAAAATGCCTTGTTCTCCCCTTATAGTTACCAAGCTTCACTTCCACATAAGGATCACAGCCTCCGGTGATGGAGCTGGGGGGAAGATCCCGGGCTTTCGCAACTCGAACATATAGATAGAATGTCTGCTCAACGAGGTCGTAAGTGCTCGCGTGTCGCTCACCGCTCAGCCACCCTCTTCCACCATATGCTCCGCCATTCGGCCAATGCTCACCGAGTTGGGGATTAGTGTCCTTGATCTCATAGGCATCATCTTGGTTGTTGAGGTTAGCTTGTGAATTGCTTGTGTTCATTGCAGATGGAATGCCTCTGTTCATTGCAGACGGAACGCCTTGAGGCCGTTTCTGTACTAATATTCGAGGCCGCTGCATAGTTTGCTGCTTATGTAATTGTGTCGTCTCTCGTCTTGGTTCGAACGGTCCTCCTATCTCTACCTTAGGCTCTTTAGCAGGATCTCTGCTGGGAAACTCAGCTACAGAAAAAGTTTTGGAAACTTCAGATGCTGGGACAGTTAAAACTTCTTTCTTTGGTTCTGCTTTAGAAGCCTCTCTAACTGAAGGTCTAGTAGGAGGAGGATCAGAAATTGGGGATTTTTGAGGATTATTTATAGGAGAGTTTTTTGGTGATGAAATATAGATTTTCAAGCCAATCTCACCTTTAACAGCTGAGAGAAACCACTTCTTTTCCAAATGGAAGATCTGATAAGTTTCCTCACCTTCCTTGGCAATGTTGGAGCAGGGAATTCTGACCCTTCCAAGAAAGCTTCTGCCTAGTCTCTTTTCATGGTAAACAGAGATGTCAATGGTTTGGTGATGATGGTTTCGGGTTTGGTCGAAATCAAAAGATAGTTTCTGGTTCCAAATCGGGTTGAGGTTATTCGTGATAGTTTTCGTTCGGGTTCGACGGTTTTGAAAATCAACTTCTACAAATGGATTGGCAGAGCCTTCACCATCTTTTGGCATAAGATCATGAGCATCTACTACTTCCACCACCAGCTGCTGCTTCTTCATAATCCTTCTATTTCTTCTACCATTGCTGCAAAAATATACAAGGAAATCACAGGCCACAAGTAAACTGGAAACTCCATCCAGAAGCAAGGAAGTTCCATTTTAGAAGGCAGAAATAATAAATAGGAAAGAGCCATAATCTCTCTCACTCTCTACCCACCAAAAAAAAAAAAAAATATTGTGGTTATAATAATGGTGAAGAAAGGAATGGTTTGTTGGAGAAGCTGACAGTGAGCTTTGTGAAAACCCAAAGATGGAGGGAAAGCAAAAACCTTTTTTTCTTTTTTCTTTTTTCCAAATGAGAGGTTATTTCCCACAACCCAACAGTACTTGTTTCTCAAGTTTGCCAAAAAACTGTAAAGAAATGAGTTTACATACCTTACGTAGTCTAATTCGACAACATTTTACTTCAAATATAGGAGTTGCTAAAATTAAAATTCGGGAAAAAGAACCTATTGTATGAGAAATACTTCAGGAAATTATGCAAGAAGCTAAATGAATAAGAAAATAACTCCATATTAGATGAAATTGATAGAACTTTCAAGCTGCCAAGTGCCAAACCAGCCCTTTCTCTATAATGGGTACTGTGATATTTCCATCCAATTTTGATGAAGGGTGAAGGTTTTGATTTTATAGCATATTCTTGTTTTTAATTTGCTAAAAGAAAAAGTTTTAGGACTTAAACTTTAAAAAATATTTAACAAGTAAAGTACTTGAAAATATGCCTAACAAGTTCTTCAATTTTAAAAGTGTCTCAATTTACTAGACAAAGAATTGTTAAGTAATGGACTTGTTCAATATAAAATAGAAAATTCAAAGACATTTTAGATCTTTTTTACGATAAGAAAATGATTACTATGATT